CAAGTAGGGTAACTCTGTTCGAAAAAGGTGCGCTTTTGCGAAGAGGGCGCCACCGAATTTTGAGGACACTTTTTTAATTGGCTCAAAGAGAGAAGTGGCCCCTCTTGTTATGTAGACTCTTTGGTACAGCCCAATAAGCTAGAGCTAGGCCGATACGACGATTTACGTATCGACTCCGGACCCGCACCATTTCGTATGAAAAATTCTTTTAAAATTAAAGAGTTGATGTATTTTTGCTTAAAATGCAAGAAATTTCGAAAATTGCGAAAGATGGCGGGTTTATTGCGGAACTCGACCAAGACCGCGATTTCCTGGGGATCCAGGCCAACCAGTGAGTGCCGTGTGTAGTGTGTAGTGTGTATCTCTGGCGGTCAATTCGCTGGCGGTACAGCGGGGCGGATTTACTGTAGTTTAGTAAGAACGGTACAACTCAGTTGGTGGATAGCTGTGTAAAGACATGACAAAATATACATGTACTATGTTTATGGTATAGGCGTCCCTTTTAGTACGCTGGCAAAACCTGGCGGTAAGCAGGGCTGGCGGAAAAGCGAGGAGCGGTACACTGAGGTTCGACTGAACATTCCTTTGTGGACTTTACTGAAAAACGTTGAACGAAAGGGTAAAAAAAAAAAGTAAATTTGCAGTTCCAAAAAAACGCTCAAGCTTTGGAAGTTAAACCATTGAAGGCCATTGTGTAGCTATAGAGCGGTCAAAAATTCCTGGCGCAACTTATCCTCGACACAAAAACGGAGATTTGACGAAGCTTTTTACAGCCTTCACCGAGCGCAGTATACAGAAGAGTGTATTGCTGCAGATTGATTGAATCATGTGTCGCTTTCTTATTTTACTTCTCTCTTTTGTATTTTTGTGTCTGTATGTGTCTGCCTGTAGGGACTTTTGCTACACCTCCCTATCTCTCACTCTCTCTGTCTGTCTGTCTGCCTGTCTGTCTGTCTGTCTGTCTGTCTGTCTGTCTGTCTGTCTGTCTGTCTGTCTGTCTGTC